GGATTGTTTAGTCTATGGAAGAGAAGAATGAGGGGGGATTTGATAGCTGCTTTTAACTACCTGAAAGGTGGATCCAAAGAGGATGGATCTATACTATTCTCAGTGATAGCAGATGACAGGACAAGGAGTAATGGTCTCAAGTTGCAGTGGGGGAGATTTAGGTTGGATATTAGGAAAACCTTTTTCACTAGGAGGGTGATGAAACACTGGAATGCGTTACCTAGGGAGGTGGTGGAATCCCGTTCCTTTGAAGTTTTTAAGGTCAGGCTTGACAAAGCCCTGGCTGGGATGATTTAGTTGGGGATTGGTCCTGCTCTGGGCAGGGGGTTGGACTAGATGACCTCCAGAGGTCCCTTCCAACTCTGATATTCTATGATTCTAAGTGGAGAACCAGTGTTAACAAGGCCAGTTCAGTCAGGCTGGATGTGGGTGTCACCTCCTCATAAATTATTGGGAGTGGACCACATCCACCCTGATTGAATTGGCCTTGTTGACACTAGTTCTCCACTTCTCTTCATGTGTCAGTATATTTATGCCTGCAACTGTAATTTTCACTCCATGCATCTGAAGAAGTAGGGTTTTTTACCCACAAAAGCTTATGCCAAATAAATCGATTAGTCTTTAAGGTGCCACCAGACTCCTTGTTGTTTTCGAGGATACAGACTAACACGGCTACCCCTCTGATACTTGGCACCAAAGCATTTTGAGACCACATGGCAATACTAATTTTACTGAGTGATTTTGTGCTTTCAAATGGATTTTATAGAGATCTAAACAATTGTGTGCAAAAATTAGACAATACCGCAGACTACGTTCAAGGGGAAAATACACCACAAGACACACAGCTTTGGCACTTGGCTAGAAGAGACTTTCAACATGCTATATACAACTAGAATGTTTGCTTTTTACTTTGCTACGTCAAATCCTATGGGCTTTCCCTTTGTTAAAGGGATGCTGTCCTGATAACAAGCTGTTTAAACATATAAGAGTATACTACTTATTTTTACTGAAGTATGCTAGACGTCCTACCGTCCAGATAGATGGATGTGCCCAGGAGAGCTTACAGACTCTTATGTGTGTGACTAGTCCCACTGAGATCAATCAGGCCTGGTTAACGTCCCTCGTGTGTTTGCAAGGATTTTAATTTTAGATGCAACTCAGCGACTGGAGCTATCGCACACTAGAAGGAGAGGGGGTTGAGTCAGAATAATATCCGAGCCGTTGTTATGCATTTATGGCTTGTGCATACTTTGATTAATTTAAAAGTGGATCCGCAGGGTAGAACGGAAGTCATTTCTTGAGTAGGGGGACAGCAAGAGCATTAATGGCAACACTTTGGGGTGGGGAGTGTGCATGGGTGGGGTGGGTCAAAGTTGTAAGACTGGAATAAATTCTCCATTGGTATACATGAGCATAACTCCCTTTGCAGTCAGTGGAGTCACACCCATGTACACTAGCACAGAGTTTGGCTCTCTGTCAAATATAAAAGCAAGGCGAGATTCATGTAGGGCCTTGAAGGCCAAGGACAAGACAATCAGCCCTTTACCTATGTCCTTAACAGCACCCTAGGGCTTGTCTACGCTACCAAGTTTTGTTGACAAAACTTACGTCGACACCCAGAAGTTGGCAAAATAAAAATCGCCGAAGGGTATTCACACTTGCTTCCTCTGTCGACAGATCACGTCCACATTGGGGACACCATCATCGACAGGGTGAGCAGTGTACCGTGGATATGTATCCCATGGTGCAGTGTTGTGGGAAGGAAGAGATGATCGCTGCGCATCTTGGGAGTCTCTCCAAGTTCTCCCGCAGCCCCCTCAGCTGCTGAGAGCGGCATCATGAGTAGCTCTGGGAGCTCTCCGTGCTGAGGAATGGCAAAGCAGCCCAGTGGTCTGTCCCACTCTGGCTGCAGCAGCCGCCTGCCTGCTGCTCTGTTCCTAGTGCTGGGCAGAACAGGAGCATTCCAATGATTTGCTCTTTGTTTGTTCCCCAAAGGGAGCAGCACACAGATACCTCCCGGAGCTTTGAAAGGGGAGGGGCGCATGCCTGCAGGGCAGCAGAGATCAAAACACTGAGCAGAGCCATCAGGGCAGGCATTGTGGGATACTGGCGGAAGCCAGTTCTGTCGACAAAACAATCAGCAGTGTCTACATTGGCTGTTTGTCAACAATAAAGGGACGGAAAAAGACAAAAGTCTCTCGTAGGGGTGGAAGCTTTTTGTTGCCAAAACTGTGCGTTTTTCGCGACAAAAGTCCCATTGTAGTATGTATGTTCTTGCTGTTTTGTCACCAAAAGGCAGTTTTTGGCAACAAAACTTGACAGTGTAGACAAGCCTTAGAGTGCTGAAATGGAAAACTCTTCATAGCCATGTGCATCCCTCTCTTTTTCGGTGTTTGCTTCCTCTCCCCACCTATCCGCCAGAGCAACATAAATTGGTTAGTCTCTAAGGTGCCACAAGTACACCTTTTCTTTTTGCGAATACAGACTAACATGGCTGCTACTCTGAAACCTGTCATTACACAGGATTGTTTCACCTTATCTATCGTCAGTTTCACTTTCTGCTGTTTCTGCAGTAGTCCAGTGCTTTGGGGTTGGGTTTTCAACACTGCAGGAAATGTTGAAATGAAAAAGGAAAAAAAAAGCAATCGAAAATTCCTCCAATTGAAATCCTTTCTTTTTTTTTAATCCCTCGCGCCCGCCCAACAATTCAGATCCTATTTTGTAAAATCCCCCAGCCACCGACCTGCTTCCTCTTTCTTTAACTACACCTGCATTTTCAGCTTAGTGTAGATAGCAGATTTTAAAGTTGAATATAGGTAATTTTCAAAAAAGTGAAACACAGGAAAGTTCAATTTAGGGGGAGAGAAAAAACAACCCAAGCAGCCAACAAATCCAAAAGGGGAAACAAAAAACAATGAAAGTTCTCTGACCAAAAACGGGTGCTAAGAAAAACAAAAGCCATTTCTAGCACAACAGATACTACTAAATGTTGTTGAATACAGCTGTGCCTGAAATCTAGAGAGATTTGGCCGTATTGAGAGGTCAAAAGGTTTCGTCTTGCTTTCTTGTTAAGTGTCTCATTGGCAGAGTCTCGGCTGATCTCTCTCTCTTTCCTGAGAGATCCTCAGTGTGCTGGCTACAGCCCTGCGGATATACCTGTCTTGTATGCTTTATAAATGTCACCATCCTAATCCCCCACTCTGCATCTTACCGTCACCAGCCTTCTGGCCAGGGAGGACTGAAAAGGACTCTAGTTTTGACAGGCTTTGAATCATGATCCACCAGAGGAACTGGTAGTGAGCATAAGTGCTGGATCTAGGGCTGCTGGGGGTGCTGGTGCACCTCCTGGCTTGAAGTAATAATAACAACCGAAGTACATGGTTTCTGCCTTCAGCACTCCCACTATACAAATTGTTCCAGCACCACTGGTCATGAGCATGACCTGAGGCCTTCCTGTCCCCTGCTAGCTTGGGCAGCAAGAATCCAAGAGCAGAGCCCATGTTTTCCTGCCTGGCAATAAAGTGGCCAGATTTGAAAGAAAGTTCAGCACAGAGGGCATCACAATGGAGGCTGCTGGATGCTGAGATCTTCAGAAAATCTGGTCCTAATACTGAGTTACCAGTTCATGATGTCACCTGATAGTTCTAGTAAAGCTTTGCATTTACATGTCATCCTGCATGTGAGGATCTCAAAGCAATTTTATAAACACTTCCTAACAGCTCTGTGAGGTAGGTAAGAACTTGTATCCCCATTTTACAGATGGGGAAATTGAATCCCAGGCAAGCTAGCACTTAGTGAAGCTCAGATATTCTGTGGTGGTTCCCGGAATAGAACCCAGGAGTCCTTACTGCCACGCCCAGGTACTAACCACTTCCTTGGAAGTTCACTAGCTAAAGAGGATTTTGTGATGCCAAGCAGCTGGAAAAGAGGAGATCCAGGAAAGAAAATATTGCAAGGAAATATAAAATAGGGTTTAATTTTTTTTTCTTTCCAGGGGCTGCAAAATGATGGTTGGAGGTTCTGTTTTTTTTAAATGAAAAGTAGGTTCAGTTTTTCTCATTAGAGGTCAAAATTGCAACATATTTTGTCAATTTACAAAAGTTATCAGAGCTACACCTGGTAGAAAAACAGGATGAATTTTTCACAGCATACATATTAATGATATATTTTTTCTGTATGCCACTTATCAGATTTTGGGTTAGATCTATTATGAAAACGAGACAATGATCCAAGTTCACCCTGGCATAAGTGGACACAACTGCATTGAAATGATAGGAGTTGAGCCCACTTTACACTAGCAGTGAAATTAGGCTCAATCTTTTTATTTTATGTGCAAAAAGATCATAAATCATCCAATAAAAGAATACAAGGCTAGAATTCTTCAAGAGGTACTGGTTATTGCATAAAACCATTAGAGCAGGTCTAGAATTACTGTGCATGAGCTCCAAGGTGGAATTTCCTTGTATTACATTGTTACCTATTTGGTTCCTTTATATTAGAAGGTTAGAATTTTTGTTTGTTTCCATTCAGCAGCAAAAACAAAAGTTGTGTTAGCATTGATAGAATGTCATGTGAACACGATGATCCCTATGCGCTGTCACATCAATACTTAAAGCCCTTGTGTGTTGTCTTCTGGTTTGTTGGAATGTTCGGAAGCCATGGGAATGAAGAAAGAACTCTAATTTTACTTTGCCTCTTGATAGGGTTGTGATCTCAGCTTTAATAAAGTTTAGTGGGGCAGGGACCATCTTTCTGTTCAATGTTTGTACAGCACCTAACACAATGGGTCCTGATCAATGACCGGGGCTGCTAGGAACTACCACATAACAGATAAGGGCCTATTTGTCAGCAGGGCTGTGCACTCACATTTCAGTAGTAGTCAATGGTAGCAGCAGGTCTGAAAATTGATCCCCAAGTATCTTTCTCTCCATTAGCTTCAGCTATAGCTTCCCTTTTCTATTGTAATCACACCAGGGTTTCTTTTTTTTTCTCCTTTCCAGGTTATATCAGCTGTATCCAGACTTTCCCACCACAGTATCGTTCAAACCAAAGGAATTAGGTAAGATTCTTTTAACATGATACTTTAGATAAAATTGGCTTCCCCTCCACCCCCAGCTGACTCTCCTTGTGCTTAATCGCATTGGAATCTATAAAGATAATAAATTGGCAGTGTGCATGTTAAAAGTTAGACAGCAAACAGGCTGCCTTTGAGATCAGTACATGGTGCTTATTAAAGTGCACTGCTGACGACAGTTTATACCCTTCCCCAGCAGCACAGACAGAGCAAAGAGCGTGTAGGTAGTGTGCATGCGTGCAATGGGGCACAGTCACTGCAGGGTGGGCACAGATAGAAGTGAGAGGGAGATGTTTCCTCCTCCTAAACTTTTTACAATCCTGTGTATGTCCCCTCTCTCAATAAATCTGCCACACTCCTGCATTTCCCCCCAACTGTCCTTAGGTTTTATGGTGACTGCACCTCTGTTCTGTACGTTCCCAAAATAACCCACACAGAGTGTTTGTTTTTTTTAATGCAAACTCTCTTGTGGCATCTGGTAGAATCCTGGGTTGTTCCATGCAGGAAAACTGGGATCTTGGCCACACAAGCCTAGTTCCTCTTCCTGGGAATAAACACCCTTCTGTCTTGTTGGATCTACAGCCATCCTGGGCCTGAAACAAAGCACTGTCCCCCTTTCCTACCACTCACTTCAAAGGCTGGCTGCTGTCTTTGAAATGCTAATGACGGTTAAATAGCTGGCCAGGAAAACCCTAACAAATCAGGCTCCAGTCACTGAAATGAAGGGGATTATGTGGGCTAGAGGGAGCCTCTTGGAGATTTTGGTAGTCCACAACCTGCAGGGTGAATGTGGAGGCTGATTTCATTGGGTCGGTGTCCTGGCTGTGACTGAAAGACCAGGGAAAAGCTGTTTTCGTTGTTTAAAAAGTCCAACTCGTTCTTTATGATCAGTGTGGGAAGTTTGACACTGATGTTTGTTGACACACTGCTCCCCTTCCCTGTGATGGTCTGATTCCCCTAACCTTGGGAGAGCAGGATTCTGGCTGCCCCCTCAGCCTGCCCCTGACAACTGTAGTACTGGGGGGATTGCTGTTAAGGGCTCAGCTTCCGGGCTAGGTGCTGTGTAGCTCTAGTTAGGCACAGCCAGTTGGAACGGGAAACAAAATGAAGCTGAGCTCCTGAAAAGCACCAAGCAATCACTGAGCACCACAGCAAGGCTCCATGAAAGTGGCAAAACACCTCCTGTGTCAGAGAGGGAAGTGCCGAAGGATCCCTGGCTACCCAGATCTTCAGGCCGCTGACTCTGAAAGGGGCTGCATTAGGGGTTGTGACTTTCACCATTGGGCTGCAGTAGATTCATAGTGCAGGCTTGTTTGGGGAGAATGCCTTCCCTTTTGCACATCTGCCCATGGAAGGCTAGCTGCTGGGCAAAAACGGAGCTCTAGTTCGCACAAACAGGATGCTGCTGTTGAGTGAGTCATGGTCTAGAACTCCCAAGCTCACTTCCCAGCTCTGATCCTTTCTCTATGGCCTTTGGCCAGTCACTTTACTCCAGTCTACATGCAGATTTTGTATCAGTCCAACTGTTGGTTAGAGGGATGATTTTTGTTGTTTTTACTGATATGTTTATACCAGTGCAACCCCAAGTGTGGAGACAGTCATAGCGGCAGTCAGCTGATTCCCCTTCCCATACAAGAAATAGACATAAAGTGCCTTTATTTTGGTATAACTGTATCCACACTATGGGGTTTGTACCACTGGAACTATACTGATATGGTTAAAGGGATACAAGTTTTGTGTGTAAGATGAGCCCTAAATGGTGAAACTGACAGATTCCACAAGGTACAATGGGCACTGTAGTGAGTGAATGTTTGTAAAGTGCTTTGAGGATCAAAGCACCATCTGAGTTAGGCACTGTTTGTTTATTCAGAGTAGTCTTGAGTCCTGGAGAAGACTATAGTGATTATTATTTTAAGGGGAAAAGTGCATCAAAGCATTGTGGGAGCTGGGGGAGGGAAATCCACATGTATAAATTACACTGACATTGCAAAAGGTAATCTTAAAAACGTAGGCCCTGGCTTGGCATGTTGCTTACACCATCTTGCAGGTCATTCACTCTTTTCTAATCACGCATCCAGGTATGAAAGGTGTATTATTACTTTATAGGAAGAGCAAGCTGGCCATACTGCTAAGCCTGCTGTAGATAAATAACGTTCTGCAAGGCCTGAATCACATACTTCCATTGAAGTCAATTGGGAGACTCCCATTAAGTTTCATGGGGGCTGGTTGGAGCCTCAAGTCCAGTAGACAGCAGGGATGCAAGAGGCATGATGGCTTGCAGTCCATTGGTGTGATATTTCCCCCCCTACAGTATAGCTATTAAATTTTCACATTTTTTTTATTACAGGCTTTTAAAATTCCCATTAAATTCTCTTATCTGGAAGTCTTTTGCCTAGTAATTACAGAAGCAAAGAGTGTTGATGACACTCTTTCTGTCTTTCTTTCTGACTCCAAGTTTTTCCTATACGTTAACCCCACTTTCCCCCGTTCGTCAGCTGCCCATACAAGAATGCATAGTGCTGATTGCTTTCTTCACCCTAAAAAAAAAAGCCCATCAAAGTTCTTCCTCTTCTCACCATCACCTACCCCAGCAATAAGCAAATACATGCCTTTTGTCCATTCCTGCATTTTTTTTTTAAAGTAGATCACTTCTTGCACCATCATCTTAAAAAGCCTTGACTATGGAAGCCAAGCGCCGATGAACTTTATATGAAAACTAGCAGCAGCCTTTGCTCTCTGAAATGACTGCAGACATCTGCCATCTCGGAACCCGATCCCTGCTCCTCTTTATGCAGGTCTCTACCGATGACAGCAATCCCTTCCCTGGCTTAGGGAGGCTGTTTTTTATGGATGTCTTAAGATCCCAGAGCCCGGGCTCTAGCCCTAATGTCTACACTGCAGTTTTATGTCCACGCAGCCCTAATCACCTGACCCAGGCCAGCTGCAGGTGTTTTATTGAAGTGTAGGTGTACTCTAAAAGTCTGATCCAAAGCCTGGTGAAATCAATGGAAAAACTCCCGTTGACTTTTGGCTTTGGATCAAACCCTAAGCACTTAGAAAACCGAACAAATATAGTCCCCTTGTTCACACATCGTATATAGTCTTCAGCACTGTTAAATGAAGGTATTTTCTCCCCAATGCATTTTTTAGCTCTAGACTTTGGGATCACACAGGAAAATCCATATTTAAAAAAAAACCCAGCTCCCCAAGCCTATTGTTTTTCTTGAATATGTCCCATGATCATGCAATCTCCCACAAAGGACAAAAAGATAAAATAAAACTCATATGTTACTCAGTAACAGAAGGAATCTTTCTACCTAATAAAGACTTTCTAGATGCGTGGACCTTGCCAGAGAAACCCTGCCTCACAGAGTAATTCAGGTGGCTATCAGAATAGCTCTGCAGTGATGACAGAGTGTTTCCTCCAAAGAACAAGCTATAAATAGCAAAAGCCTATCCTTAATGAAATGTTTTGTTTGCAGTATACCACTGCAGTTGGACTTAATCTGTGGCAGCTGTAGCTACAGACGGCGCTGTATGTTTACTTCTTGTGCTGTGTTGTTATTTCAGTGGCAGGTTTTTGAATTCGTTTGGAGTGCCATGTAGCCCTTAGTGCATGTTGCATTGACTTACCTCCTGGCTAGTGCTCTGCCTCTATTGATTGCTAAGATAAAAATGGGTTTATCTGTCGCACAAGGTTGTTTGTTCAACATAAGCTGTTATCCCTCCCACCTTCATCTCCCCACTAATTAAACAAGCCTCCCCCCACACCACCACACACACAATTACAGGACCCACCACCCACTATTTGTTGTGCTCTGGGTTGCTGCAGGGCCACTCAATCCACAAAAGCCAGGTGGTTTCAAACCATTACACACCACAGTGACCATGTCCCTTGACGTTTTGAATACTCTTCCATGCATAATGAGAGTCTTGCTGCTAAGGGAGCTTTATTATTACGTTAAGAAGAGACTTTTTCTGCCTGTATCTCTGATCCAAGGTCTTAAAAGGAAGAGGATGATGATGTGGTTAAGACACTAGACGGACTTGGGTTCAATTCCTGGCTCTGCCCCAGATTCCCTGGCTGATTCTGGTCACATCACTTAATTTCTCTGTGTCTCATTTTCCCGTCTGTCCAATGGGGATGATGATCCTTCCTTTGTCTAGTCTCTTAGAGTGTTATGCGTATATGCAGAACCTAGCATAACTGGGTTCTGAGCTCAGTGAGGGCTTCTAGGCACAACAGAAATTGAATAATATTTTTTCCTGTAGCACACCTCACTGTAATAGCCAAGTGTAGTGTTTTTTCACAGTGCAAAGTTGATACACGGTTGGGGATACAGAGAAGGAGGTGGTTCTGGTGTAATTTTTCATCCCTAGAGAGAGGGAATCTCTGTTTAACTCCTTTCTCTCTGTTTCATAGTGCCACCCATCACCATAGTATCTTAGTACCTTCTATGTAAAATCAATAGCTGTAGTGAAATCACAAGTGGATTTCCTGGAATCTCTGGCGCGGCTGTCACGTAGTATCAATACACCTGCCCTCCTCAGTCAATCACAGGTCCGGTCAGCTGACTACTTTTCTTTTCCCCGGTTGCTTTGTTAATCCCACCGCTGACATCAGACTTGAAGCAGGTGGGGGGAAAATGGCGCATCGGCGGAAGAGCTGTCATTGAAGGAATGGACCATAGTCTTCTCGGTAGCTGGAGGACAGAGTAGGGAATCGGGCAGTCCCAATCCATACCAAATTTGGTCACTTCCCTGAGATTTAACAGGCTCTTCTGTGCCTTGCCCTCAGATTGCTATCTCCTTCCCTTTTAAAGAGGGCAGCTGTCACAAGGAGAGTATTGTTCTCAAATGGATGAGTTTGAGAGCCCTTCGGGAGGCTGGCTATTTGCAGATCCTGTGCTAATGTAAATTTCCAATAACTGGATTAATGGGGTATATACGTTTAAAAAAACAGAACTATAAACAGCACGTACATA